ATCCAAACCATTAGACAAAATTCGAAGTCCTAAAAAAACGTTATAGGCAAAATAGTGTAATAAAGCAAAACAGTGTAATCAGCATATGGACTGTTCACCATGTACAAAATACACGACAAACAGTGGTAACAGGTGTCCGGAAGAGTAAGCTTACCCTGCCTGGCGCCACACCCGCTAAGCTGCATCCAAACTATTAGGCGAAATCTCGGTAAAATAGCGTGATTGGCCAATGGACTATCGGTATGCAAAATGCACGCGATGAACAGTGTTAACCATGTAGTAGACAGCTTATTGCATAGCTTTCAGGCTAATAATCACATTGATCTATAGCTTGTAGGCTAATAATCACATTGATTTTTAGCTTGTAGTTTGATAATCACATCAATGTTTAGTATGTAGTTTGATAATCACATCAATGTTTAGCATGCAAGTCGATAATCGCATCGATGTTTAGCATGTAGGCTGATAATCTCTCCTCCTCTCCCCTCGTCTTGTATCTGCATCTCGTTATATAGCCCCGATTGCACTGCATATTTCCTTTGAAGTCATTATCAGATCATGGTATGATTACTGACCAGTGCATATTCCTTTGAAGTCACGTGGAGCTTGTACACAGATCATACATAGTTTGTAAATGACATATGGGATTAATTACATGGTTAATTACATCATAGCCAGTCCGTGCCTTAACAGAAGTTTGTACAGAGTTGAAACGTCAATATCATACAGTTGTATATTATCAAAAACCAGCTGAGGTCATAAAGTTCTATGCACCTTTAATTTGATGAAAGTTATAGAGTACTTTGTTACAATTTATTCACATGACAGGTCTGTAATCAACTCTCTAGATCATCGGATGACCCTGAGATTACATAGATTAGAACACCTGTGAGATTACATAGATTAGAACACCTGTGCGAATACATGGATTAGAACACCTGCATGATTACATAGATTAGAACACCCGTATTATTATATCACAGTTACACCCTAAGGACGGCTGAGTTTGAATTTCGTGAAATTCAGCCTAAAACTGACAGACAAAATGGCCGCCCTTCGTTCTCAAATAGCGTAAAAAATATGGTATATCAAGGTTGTGGACCCAATAGAGGTCACAATTTTTATCCGATTTTGTTGAAACTTGAAATGTAAGTTTATAACCTAAAGATCTCGGTTCCTTTCGATATTTGCACATATCGGACCGTAACTTTCTGAATTATGGCCCCTGATTGTACGAAAAATTGCGTTTTTAGCTTGTGGACCCAAAAGAGGTCATAATTTTTATCCGATTTAAAAAAAAAAGTATTATTATATCACCGTTACACCCTAAGGACGACTGAGTTCGAATTTCGTGAAAATCGGCCCAAAATGGCCGCCGTTCGTTCTCAAATAGCGTAAGAATATGGTATATCAAGGTTGTGGACCCTATAGAGGTCACAATTTTTATCCAATTTTGGTGAAACTTGAAATGTAAGTTTATAACACAAAGATCTCAGTTCCTTTCAATATTTGCGCATATCGAATTGTAATTTCCTGAATTATGGCCCTTGATTGTAGGAAAAATCACTTTCTTGTTAGCTTATTCTCTATCCATCTCTCAAAAATGTGGGCGTATCCTGCCTGGCAGCTGCTGGTTTAAATTTAAGATACTTTTAACGACACCGATCATGCATTTTTCTGCATTTTTCAGAGCCTCATACACACTGAAATAAACTCCTATTGAATATTTAATATTTTTTAAAATTAAGAAAATAAAACCAATTTATTAATATCAAATGTTGTTAATCAACTTTGATCAATTTCATAATATATAGCACTGTACGACCTGCAGGGAATGTAGCTTGTCGACGTGTGTTCTCTAAGTATCAGAAATGAATACAGATTCTTGGAATGGATCTTCAACACTTTATTTCAGGAGCAAATAACAGCAACAATTAAACAACTTAAAATTTCCTATAAATTGGACCTCCAACTAGTATATAGCTTCCTTAAGCTGGTCTCTCCATCTTACATACATTTGTCTATTTATATACTTTATATGAATTAGTTACTATGAAAGTGTTGACATAAACATTTAATTGTTGAAGGATTAAGTCTTAAGGCATTTAAAACAATAGTTAAAGAAACTTAACAGATCAAACAATTTAGTTGCCAGTCTGTCATAATTTGACTGACAGATTAATTGCTGTCTGCCTCTAATGACTAACCAAGCAATAATGAATATTAAAATATAGGTTTGAAATTTAAAACAGAATTTAAAAATAATAAAATAACATATGACCAAGACATTGTTCCTAATTATATTACATTAAGTAAAGTTTCCTTCAAGGTAATTAGAAGGGTATTTCTGGTTTGTCAGCATTAACCAAATATTGTTGTGTGCATGTATATATTGTCTTGTTATATTTTCATATTTAATCACTGGTTGATAAAGACTAGAGAAGTCTAGTCGAAACATCACTCAGTAAAAAGCAGTAATTGTATTCCATAGAATTGTGACCTGTATACTCCAGTTCAATTACTAAATGCCATTGAAACAGTTTAGTCGAAATGTCGCTCAGTAATAAACAGTTAATTTGTATTCCATCTATAGAATTGTGACCTGTATATTCCAGTTTGATTATTAAATGCTGTTGAAACAATATATCACTAGTAGATAATATCTTGGCTTGACTATAAAGAGGTCGATCAATATATTGTACCCAAAACTTATAGATAATGATGGCTTGTTTATAACTTGTCTGCAAAGGACGTCGAAAATTGCTAAATTTTCAATTCATTGGGCATTATGTAAGATTTAGATAAAGAGCTGACTGTTCTCGCTATTATAGTTCAGAAATAGATAATGAATAGGTCTAATATGTTGAAAAATAGGCAATAGAAAGCTCTAATATGTTGACAATGGAAAGCTCTAATATGTTGAAAATAGACATTGAAAAGCTTTAATATGTTGGAAATTTCAGTCAAATTACTTGAATTGTTATGTTGAATACTTCAATTTGAGTTACGTTAGGGCTGTTGACAGAACAGTGTAGACTCAATTGTCATTACTACTGTTGTTACAATAATAAACAAAGTCTTGATTATCCATTTTTAAAGTGTAGATTTAACAAAATTGAACCATTTTTGGGCAGATATTACATGATTTAGAGATTCAACTTTCACAATATAGTAATTAGTATCACCGAATAGTGATATTAATTTTAATTTCTTTTTCAAATTATCAACTGGTGGGGTTTCGATTCCCCGGTTGTATGTGACAAGAAGTAGGGTCGCCTGTCCAACCTCGTGGGTTTTCTCCGGGTCCTCCAGTTTCTTCCCACTGCTAAAGACCCCTATGCGCAAGCGAATTATTGAAATAAAAAAATTAAACCATATGTTAGTCCCGAAATGACCTAGTTTGTGTCGAGTGGATGTTAAACCCCATTTCTCTCTCTCTTTTTCAAATTATATTTAAAGAATGCATAATTTATTTCTTAATTCTATATTCATATATACAGACAGTATGGCTGACATTAAGATTATCAGCCTGCCTGTCATTGATTTAAATTTTAATATTTTGATTTAAAGTAATTGCCTAAAAGGTCTTGACTGTACTGTTATAATCTGTGGTGCCAGCAGGCTTATTAAAAGCCACCTTGAGCAAGATTTATATAATTAACAATACAGTCAGATCAGTCCCAATCAAGTGTCAACGCTTAATTACTTTATTTACAGCTTAAATCTTATTAACTGATTCTATTAATTATATTTTACTATGAAACTTTAACCAATGAAATTTATATATTAATTTAACTTCTTTCATTTGATTCGTTACAATATATTTTTATCCCTAATTTTATCTTTAATCTGATTTGTTGAAATAATTGTCCTTTTGTCTGTATGCAAATTAGTTTGTTTAAAAGACCCCTACACAGACGGGAGAAAAGGAGAAGAGATCAGATGAGATAGGAGATAGGGTTAATGTGTTTATTAGCCCTTTGATATGATCTTGTATATAATGTATATTTAACTATCTATAAAGGAATATTGAAACAGATTTTGACTTGGACTTTTAATGCACAGTGACCACCTTCACCAGAATACTGCCCATCAGTAATGAGCTACACCCAACCCCACGCATAGCTTGTACACATGTATCACCTGGGTGCATATTCAAACGAAGAATAGCCCCGAACCGATTGTGATATTAGCAAGGGATTCAAAATCACTCAATGACTTTAATTTACAAGGATAATAAAAATAATGATAATGATAATGGACATTTGTAGAGCGCCAAATCCATCCAAAAGCATGCTCAAAGCGCAATGAGACAATAGTTATATACACTGCAGTGAACAGAAAGTCTAATTCTCATAGCATTCCCGAAATAAGTGCAGAGTCTTCAACTGTGATTTAAAAGTAGTCAAAGTTTCACTGTTTCGGATTTTCAGAGGTAAATCATTCCACAATTTAGGAACAACTACACTAAAACTTCTGTCACTAAAATGTTTCAGTATTGACTTTTGGAATGACAAAGGTGTTCTGGTTATAAGATCTCAAGGACCGATTTGGTTGATGTAGTGTTAGTAGTTCTGATAAGGGGGGTTGGATGGCTGAATGGTTAGCATGCGCGCGCTGTATCATAAAGTCTGTCATTGAGTCGACTGGCGTGGTTTCGAATCCCAGGTTGTATGTGGCAAGGAGTAGGGTCGCCTGTCCAACCTCGTGGGTTTTCTCCGGGTCCCCCGGTTTCCTCCCACTGCTAAAGACCCCTACGCGCATGCGAATTGTGTAAATAAAATTAAACCATATGTTAGTCCCGAAATGACCTAGTTTGTGTCGAGTGGACGTTAAACCCCATTTGTCTCTCTCTCTAGTTCTGATAAATAGCTGGGTGCGAGATTTCGTAGACACTGGTATGCGAGACACAGGACCTTAAAGTTGATGCGAGTTGGAATTGGGGAGCCAATGTAAGGATTTTAGGATAGATTTAATCAAATTTTTTTTTTCTGTTTCAGATTTTTAATGATACCAAGCTAAATACCACGACAACGCAAATATGACGAATTACAATCGTTATTACAACCATGAACTTTACGATAAAGTTCACAACTATCTCTCATCCAAGGAAAATAAACCTTCGACGCCATCACATGTTTCATTTCTTGGTTTCCAGTATTTTGATCTCCCACCTGCCCCCAAACATAAATATGATGAAGTTCATTCAAGAATTTTTCTAGGAGATGGGTAAGTTGATCTAATTCCAATCTGATTAAAATACAGATCTATTTTTTGTTTCGTTTTTTTATACTTTCGATGGCCTACTCTTACATGAAGTTCTGAACGATTGTACTGGAAGGTCACATCAGGGGTCGTACAAGCGGTGTTTGACCCTGTGATGTCTGAGTCAGACATTGATTAATCAATCATCGTTGACGTTTTTAGTGGTTTACCCACAGTTCCTTGCATCGGAGCCAAGAACTCGCCATAACAGACTGTTTCATTGGCTAATCCCTCACTTCAACCAAAACGCCACTAATATAACAACGGTAGTAACTAATATAGTTATATATAACTAATATAACAACTGTAGTAACTAATATAGTTATATATAACTAATATAACAACTGTAGTAACTAATAAAGTTATATATAACTAATATAACAACTGTAGTAACTAATATAGTTATATATAACTAATATAACAACTGTAGTAACTAATATAGTTATATATAACTAATATAACAACTGTAGTAACTGATATAGTTATATATAACTAATATAACAACTGTAGTAAAGTAAATTAAAATCCAAATTTTGAACTATAAAAAATGAAAAGAAATAGGATCTGTGTTTTAATTAGATTGACCTATTTCATATTGTTGCCCAAAATGAAAATTGTTTGGATTGAAAAGTGGTGTCGAATGAGTAAAGGTCAAGGGGAACTAACTGCAAATGAATATTTCCTTTTAGCTGGAAATTAAGTCTTCTCAGTGGCAAAATATTTGCTAAACCTATTTGTTAGGGCTAGCTCAATTTTTTTCAAGGTTGTTGGGATATAAATAAGGTTAGGGAATGTGATTGTTAGCGAGATTGTAGGTTAGGGTAAGCTTTGGGGCTAGGTCCAGGGTTAGGGTTAGGGTTGGGATTAGCACTGGCACTCTTTACATCTCGTGACCTATGACGAATAATTAAGCTGGCCTCATACGCAAAATATTCTATACTTCAAAACTGTATTCCAGCAAATCTTCAAGAAATCTTGTTTATATGTCACCTACAATGGAATTCATCCATTGGCTTGTTGAAAACACACAAAAAAAAACAAGAATGTATTTAAAATATAATAAGCCAATTTTATTTCTGTGCTGGTCTGACAATGCCAGGGGTTGCTATGACCTTTCTGTCATTATCAGGCTGGTAAATTTAACTGTTGGTGACATATTTTGAAAAACAGAACACAGACTGATATTATTGGAGAGAAAAAGACCTAACTCAAAGGGTGTATTGCTCTTTATTATGGAACCTTGAAATAGACATGGTTCTAAAAGCACATATTAATGTAATATGAATGTATATGTAAAGTGATTTATATTCAATGTTTGAAACAAATATTGTAATTACTAATCAATTATGTTTGGTGAAATATGTGAACAGTTCAAATTGAACGGCAGTTGTTTACGCCTGCTTAGTGCATTCTACGCATTTTTTAAAATTATTATTTTTTGGTTTATAAATCAGCCTTTACTAATTATTTCCACATTGAGTTGTACTTGTAGGATATGTTTTTTTTTGTTCATTACAAATTAGCACCCGAAACCATAGGGTACTGATTATAAAATGTTAATTGTGTCTTTAATATTTGATCAATGGATCAATATTGAATTCTAAATTGTGTTTTTAATTTCCAATATGGATAATATTGAGTTAGAGACTTAACTCCTTTAAGCCATAGTGACGCTGCCCAGGGCAAAGCAGAACAGTAGGAAGTTTAACCCCATTTCATTTCCTTTGCTCCTTGGATAATGTTTATTTCAAATTGTTTTTATGACGTTGATTGGCTCCCTTACAATTTTACTACAATATGCATACATTCATATTTCTTGTAACATACATCAGATCATGACTCATGCTGGCATTACACAATGGTTTCTCTGGGTTTTATTCCTGATTGTTTTCAAATTTGAGTGAAGTCTGCGTCACTACAGGCCTGGCGACTGTACAGCGTAGTGGACACTTGTGGCTAGCCCCCGGATCCATTCACTTTATTGGAATTGTGCATTTGTTTGTGATTTCTGCGTAATGTGTCTTGTGCATATATTTGTTTTTTGTGTAAATTATGTGTGGTGCAGTCCCCCTGCACTTACTATTACAGTGGAATGTCATGTGGGTACCCTAAGGGTCAAGTTTAGACAATTTTCACACATTTAAGACACATTCTCCCTAAAGATTTGATAAACTTTGGTGGGCGGTGACTTTGGGAAATCAATAATTCTTGAAACTTTTCATGGATCGTCTGGAAGCATTCCATGCATAATTAAATTGCTACCAACATGTAAAGGTGTGAGACTTTATGTGTTATTCATTGTTCCATGTTAAAACAACATATTTCACTTAGCAACCATGTCGTCGATATTGTTTCTTGAATCAAGTGTTATTGTTTTCATTGAGTCTCTGGTAACTATGAAACATAATTTGTTTTGATTTCAAGTTTTGTTAAAGGGCACATTTTGGTGCCGATGGCAATCTGGTTAAAACACAGATCCTATTTCATTTCGTTTTTATAGTTCAAAATTTCGTTTTACTTGTCTTTACTACGCTAGGATCTGGAGAGTTGTTATCATTGACGTGTTCTGAATGGTGTGAGGGCTTAGCCAATGAAACGGTTTCCGACGTGGTTTCCCCTTGTCAGTGGTGCAGAACGGAGGGCCTGACAAAGACAGCTGTCTAGTCCTTCGGATGAGACAAAAAACTGGGGTCCCGTGTATACATTGGAATGCATGTAAAAGATCCCTTTGCAGTTGAAATTCGATATAAGAGTAGGCGGTAGTGCCGCTGCCCGGGCAAAATTTCCCTCATAGCACACTGTATGGCGTATGCCCGTCTTCATTAGCCCAGGTTAGGAGCAGAACAGTAGGACGTTAAAACCCCATTTCATTTCATTTCATTTCCGGGGGATTGGATGGCTGAATGGTTAGCGTGCACGCGCGGTATCATAAAGCCTGTCATTGAGTTAACTGGTGTGGTTTCGAATCCCCGGTTGTACGTGACAAGGAGTAGGGTCGCCTGTCCAACCTCGTGGGTTTTCTCCGGGTCCTCTGGTTTCCTCCCACTGCTAAAGACCCCTACACGCAAGCGAATTATTGAAATAAAATTAAACCATAGGTTAGTCCCAAAATGACCTAGTTTATGTCGAGTGGACGTTAAACCCCATTTCTCTCTCTCTCTCTTTCATTTCATTTCCAATGAAACCGTCTGTTACGGCGAGCTTTAGGCGTGTTTGGGTAATCCATTAGTAACATTAATGCCGATGACCAGTTCTGAAACCGGTCAGATCTTCATGTAGTGTAGGCCATCGAAAGTATAAAAAAAAACTAAACGAAATATAGATCTGTATTGTAATCAGATTGTGTCGATGGTGGTGCGTTTTTTAAAAGATCCACTTGTTAATAGAACCACAGTTCTGGCAGAATTATCTGTTACTGTATATTAACATTTCAGTTAAAACCACCAATTTAATGTTGCAATGTATTTCATAAATGCTATAAGACGAAGAAGCCTGTTGACCTTCAGCAATTTCCGATAATTACTGACAGAGTTATGGCCCTTGATCACTTTGAAAAAGCTTGTGGACGCTCTAGAGGCTAAAGTTAATATCCTATTGACTTTAAATTTTCACAACATGTTTAAGTTCATGAGATGAAGGATCCTACTCATTTTTAATAATTTCCGATAATTACTGCCAGAGTTATGGCCCATGATCACTTTGAAAAATTTGTGGAAACTCTAGAGGCTAAAGATATTATAAATTGTTTAAGGGGAGAGAGAGAGAGAGAGAAATGGGGTTTAACGTCCACTTGACACAAACTTGGTCATTTCGAGACTAACATATGGTTTAATTTTATTTCACTAATTCGCTTGCGCATAGGGGTCTTTAGCAGTGGGAGGAAACCGGAGGACCCGGAGAAAACCCGCGAGGTTGGACAGGCGACCCTACTCCTTGTCACGTACAACCGGGGATTCGAAACCACGCCAGTCGACTAAATGACAGACTTTATGATACAGCGCGCACGTGCTAACCACTAAGCCATCCAACCCCCCTCACAACATACTACCCAATACTACAACATAATTATGCTAAATGGGCATACTTTATTTAATGTTTTTCAAAAATAGTGAGTTATATCGCGGGAAATGCACTTCAAATACCGATGTCTGGTTGTTCCATTCACCCAAATCAAACAAATAATAACCCAATACTACCAAATACTAATCAATGACAGACTTTATGATACAGCGCGCACACGCTAACCATTCAGCCATCCACACCCCCAAATTGTTTAAGGTCATGAGAAAAACAATCGAATTCAAAAGATTTTCTGATAATTACTTAATAGGTTATTACTCGTAATCAGATTTTCATGTGTTGTAAACGTTCTCATTCCTGACAAAAGGAAAAATCTGTGACAACCCATGTTGACTGCTCGGATGACTAAGCTGTTTGTGGGCGTATATGTTTCGTTGCCTGGCAACTTATCTTTTTTTATAATTCAGTGTGGTAGCTCAAGACAAAGAACAACTAACATCAATGGGTATAACACACCTGGTCAACTGTTGTGAAGGTACCAAGTTTAATCAGGTGAATACCAATCAGGCTTACTACGACGATATCAACATAAAATATCACGGTATCCAGGCCCAGGATGTAGCTGCTTTCAGAATCTGTGATCATTTCGAGGCAGCTGTTAATTTTATCGATAATGCATTGAAGGAAGGTAAATATGTTATCTATTTTGTTTTAAGTGTTGGGGGTGTGGTGGGTGGACGAATGGATAGCGTGTGCGCGTTATTGATAAGGTAAGTCATTGGTAAGGTTTCGATCTCCGGTTGTACGTGGCAAGGAGTAGGGTCGCCTGTCCAATCTCGTGGGTTTTCTCAATGATGTGCGTCCTACAAAAATTAGGGGAGTTGGATAGTCGAATGGTTAGCACGGGCACATGGTATCATAAGGTCTGTCATTGGGTCAACTGGCATGGTTTCGATTTCCCGATTGTACATGACAAGAAGTAGGGACGCCTGTCCAACCTCGTGGGTTTTCTCCGGATCCTCCGGTTTCTTCCCACTGCTAAAGACTCCTACACGCAAGCGAATTATTGAAATAAAATTGATTCATATGTTAGTCCCCGAAATTACCTCTCTCTCTCTCTCTCTCTCTCTCTCTTAAAGGGACAATAACACTCTTGCTGGCTTGACAGCTCCAGAAAATGAAAAAATAGCCTTATTCTAAGTACTAGATGGTTAGTGTCCTACCTGTTGTGTAAATTATCCATTACATCCTATTTTACTTGTCCAGAGGGTTCAAAAATATTTTTAAATCCAAGTCACATTTGAAAAGCTTTACGTCAGGCTCTTCAAATCATTTAGTTGAATTTTTCTAATTTTTTAAATTAGGTGTGTTAAGATCAAATTTGTATCATCAATTAATTGGAATATTGTAAAATAGTACAATTTGTTGACCAGAATAAAGATTGGGGCATATTATTCAGTTACAAGAGTGGTATTGAGCCTTTAATGGAAACTTAATGGAAATGATCAAAACAGGTTTACCAAATTGAATTTATTAAGTTATTTATTGGCCATCCCCGGTGAAATGTTATTCGTAAATTTAATTGTTGAGTAATATAAAACTATAAATGTTATTTTCTCGGTAGCCAATAGCCAACAACTATTTGAAAAATAAGATTAGCGGCTGTTTTTCTAGAAAATAAAAATGTCTGTCCCATACATTTTGATCAAACGGAACATATTAACTCTTAAACTGTCAGACATGCCATATGGAACATTTCAGGTCATGACCTATATGTAAATATGACAAAAAATGTTAAATATTTTATACCACTGAATAGAGGATTTCATGAACGTTCCAAAAATTTAATGGTTAGCATGTGTGTGCTGTATCATACGGTCTGTCATTGAGTCAACTGGCAAGGTTTCAATTCCCCAGTTGTACGTGACAAGGAGTAGGACCACCTGTTCAACCTCGTGGGTTTTCTCCGGGTCCTCTGGTTTCCTCCTACTGCTAAAGACCCCTACACGCAAGCGAACTATTGAAAAAAAATTGAACCATGTGTTAGTCCCGAAATGACCTAGTTTGTGTCGAGTGGATATTAAACCCCATTTCTCTCTCTCTCTCTGTCTTAACTACATGTATATGCTTTTCCTAGTCGAAACCTCAAAACAATCCGACGGTCAAAGGTTTAAGTTATTTATTGCCAATCTAACATGAAGAGGTTGGGGATCACGGTGGCTAAATGGGTAAGGCGCTGGCTCGCTAGCCTGGAGGTTGGGTGTTCGATCCCTGCATTGGCCGAGAAAGTTCATCCAGATTTTCTGGCGTGGTTTCCCCTTGTCAGTGATGCAGGACGGAGGGCCTGACAAGGACAGCTGTCTAGTCATTCAGATGAGACGAAAAACCGAGGTCCCGTGTACACATTGGCGTGCACGTAAAAGATCCCTTGACAGTTGGAATTCGATATAAGAGTAGGCCGTAGTGCCCCTGTCCGGGCAAAATTTCCCGTCTTCATTAGCCCAATTCTGAACAAAACAGTAGGACGTTAAACCCCATTTCATTTCATTTCATTTCACATGAAGAGGCATACGTAGATTTAATTGTTGAATGATATAAAACTATAACCGTTAACTTCTCTGCAACAAACAGCCAATTAAATCTACGGCAATTTGAAAAATAAGATAAGATTTTATTTTTGTACAAATGCACTTATAGTTATTACCATACACTTAATTAAATCAGAGGGATGGATGGCCGAATAATTAGTGTGTGCGCGTAGTGTTATAAGGTCTGTCATTGAGAGAGAGAGTTTAACGTCCACTCGACGCAAACTAGGTCAATTGGGGACTAACATGTGGTGCAGTTTTATTAATATTTATTGCTTTATCATGTGTTATTATATTTTTAAATTATACTTTATTACTCTTTATCTTTGTCGTAGTTTATGTCTCTCTTTGTTTCCCCGGTTGTACGTGACAAGGAGTAGGGTCGCCTGTCCAACCTTGTGGGTTTTCTCTGGGTTCTCTGTTTCCTCCCACTGCCGAAGACCCCTACATGCAAGCGAATTATTGAAATAAAGTTGAACCATGTGTTATTCCCGAAATGACCTGGTTTGTGTTGAGTGAATATAAACTCTCTCTCTCTCTCTTTCTCTCCCTCTCTCTCTTTCTCTCTCTCTCTTTCTTTGGGGGGTTGGATGGCTGAATGGTTAGCGTGCGCGCGCTGTATCATAAAGTCTGTCATTGAGTCGACTGGCATGGTTTCGAATCCCCGGTTGTACGTGACAAGGAGTAGGGTCGCCTGTCCAACCTCGTGGGTTTTCTCCGGGTCCTCCGGTTTCCTCCCACTGCTTAAGACCCCTACGCGCAAGTGAATTATGTAAATAAAATTAAACCACATGTTAGTCCCGAAATGACCTAGTTTGTGTCGAGTGGACGTTAAACCCCATTTCTCTCTCTCTCTCTCTCTCTTTCTTTAATCAAAACATATCTGCATCCTCCAAATGTAAATATCTGAATTGAGTTCTAGTGAGCCATGGCTTCTTCACATCATGAAAAAAATTGACCAGCAAATTTCCAATTATGTGTGCTTCGCTATAGTAGATCAGCGTTTTATTTCTTTTCCTGAAGTTCATGTCAGACGTTTTGTGGTTGTTTATGTGGGTTTTATGATAGAATATGGTGAACATAATTATTATTCACATAGAGTTTTGTATTGATAGAATTGGATGGAATTAAGTCAGCTTTTATGATGTTAAAGGAGGTCCACAGGCCATATTGCTCTATTAGTATTATTGATCGCTTGTAACTTTTATTGATAATCTATATAATACTAATAGTGGGGGGGTATATAGGTTGTATTTAATAGTCTATATGTATAGTGTATGGTATATAGCTTGTATATAGTGTATGGTATATAGGCTGTATTTAATAGTCTATGTGTATAGTGTATTGTATATAGGCTGTATTTAATAGTCTATGTGTATAGTGTATGGTATATAGGTTGTATTTAATAGTCTGTGTATAGTGTATTGTATATAGACTGTATTTAATAGTCTATGTGTATAGTGTATGGTATATAGGTTGTATTTAATAGTCTATATGTATATAATGTATGGTATATAGGTTGTATTTAATAGTCTATGTATATAGGTTGTATTTAATAGTCTATATGTATAGTGTATGGTATATAGCTTGTATTTAATAGTCTATGTGTATAGTGTATTGTATATAGGTTGTATTTGATAGTCTATATGTATAGTCTATGGTATATAGCTTGTATATAGTGTATGGTATATAGCTTGTATTTAATAGTCTATATGTATAGTCTATGGTATATAGCTTGTATTTAATAGTCTATGTGTATAGTGTATTGTATATAGGTTGTATTTGATAGTCTATATGTATAGTCTATGGTATATAGGCTGTATTCGATGATATGATTAAAAGGCCTACATGTCATCGGTTTCTCCCTTCCGAATGTCAAAAACTAACTTAATCTATAAAAAAAGCCTTTTTGAGAGTATTTATGTTTTATAGATCTGTTTTTCAACATACATTATGTAAGTTGAGTCAACTGGTGTGGTTTCGAATCCCCGGTTGTACGTGACAAGGAGTAGGGTCGCCTGTCCAACCTCGTGGGTTTTCTCCAGGTCCTCCGGTTTCCTCCCACTTCTAAAGACCCCTACGCGCAAGCGAATTATTGAAAAAAAATAAACCATATGTTAGTCCCAAAATGACCTAGTTTGTGTCGAGTGGACATTAAACCCCATTTCTCTCTCTCTCTCTCACATTATGCAAGAGGTAAATCTGCCTATTACAGGTCTTTCTTTAGGCCTGAAATGTTATATAAACTAGACATTAATTAACATGATAACTTGAGATTCCATCTGATGGGTCCGATTTTAAATAAATTTGAATCTGATCTGCAATTCAACAACTGTTTTGTTCATGATTTAAAGTAACAATGGATAATTGAGACTTTGTTTAACAATGTTAAAAATGACAATTGGGGCTACAGTATTTTCTTGGCTCAGAGTGAAGTAATTTGACTGAAATTTTCAGCATAATCTCTTTACGTTATCGGTTTTTGAATTTTATTTCAATAATTCGTTTGTGTGTATTGGGTCTTTATCAGTGGGAGGAAATCAGAGGACCCAGAGAAAACCCACGAGGAGGTTGGTTATTATAGTGAGAACTGTCGCCTCTTTATCTTACTTAATGCTCCTTTACCATGTAATTGTATGATTGATTTTGTGGTAACTACAGCTGATGATAACATCGCTCAATCTTGTCACACTCAATAAGTATTTAATTACCACACGGTCTGTCAGTCCATCATTAATTGGCTTTTGAGAGAGAGAGAGAGTTTAAGTCCACTCGACGCAAACTAGGTCATTTCGGGACTAACATATGGTTCAATTTTATTTCAATAATTCGTTTGCGTGTAGGGGAGAAAACCGGAGGACCTGGAGAAAACCCACGCGATTAGACAGCCGACCCTACTCGTTGTACAACCGGGGAATCAAAACCACGCCAGTTGACTAACAGAGCTAATGATACGATGCGCACGGGCTAACCATTCGGCCATCCCCCCCCCCCCCTCATGATTACAATCCACTTAAAGATTACTAGGGTTTGGAGAGGAC